CCCATGTTCTTGAACATTTCTAATCAGAAATAGTAATGAGTGGCTGCCACACTGCTGCTGCCAGACAATACCTATGATATCTCTTAGAGGAGGGATAAAGAATACATTGTTTCAGCAGGTTCTCAGTGAACCCTGAATTTATAATGCATGCAATTTGCCTGCCATCACTATCACAGGAGCATCCAGTAAGTCCCTTTTCATTTCACTAATGAGAACACTTTTACCTTTATAAGCAGCTCTTTTCCAAGTATTGCTGAAATCTTCAAATATGCCTTGCACCTGTGGATACTTGTGAAACAGTATCACGTATCCACAGATCTACAGTCAAAAGCCCTTCTAAGTTCCAGGTGTATTAATTAAATATTTAATGTGTGTTATAGCTAAAATAGTCATTTTGTTGGGGTCAATTCATGATATAATAATTGTATATTAGTGTGATATATACCTTGGATCCCTTGGTGCATTATTTTATGAGATCAAAGTGAACATTATGAACATGAATTACTATTGTTTAGTAATTTTGCAAAAATGAAAAATAGTTCTTGAGTTTCTGGTCATCTGTAAGGATAATTGGCATGGGAAAGCTTGGCAGATAATATAATTAAATCTTGTTAGTTTTGTCTGAAATAAATCCTCTTTCCATATTCCCATTTTTCCAATACCTGTATATATTGGAATACACAGACATGCATATACACACACTCACAAACCATGAAACCAGTTTTTCAGAAGAATTAGAGATTAAATAAATCCGAATCCTTGCCTAATTTTAGTTACTCTCTCGAGTTATTTTAAAGAGGTGGAGCAGTAGCACCAGATTAGTGCCTATGGCAAATCTAAACATTCAACAGTTGATAGTTTTTACTGTCAGAGTCTGTGTTCCCAGTACTTTTGATCCATGTATGTCATTACAGAATGGTGTATGAGATAACCACAGCATTTATTTAATTAAAATGGCAATTAAAGTTCCATAATCTATGTCACCTTTAAGTCGGCAAAAATAAGACTAGGAGTTGATTGTGGCTCAAGATCATGAATTCCTTATTGCAAAATTCAGATTTAAATTGAAGAAAGTAGGGAAAACCACTAGGCCATTCTAGATTCAAGGGATTAGATCTGATAGTGTGCCTGAAGAACTATGGATGGAGGTTTGTAACATTATACAGGAGGTGGTGACCGAACCCATCCCCAAGAAAAAGAAATGCAGCAAGGCAAAATGATTGTCTGAGGAGGCCTTATACGCTAGATTTAGAAAAGACAGAGGAACCAGAGATCAAATTGCCAACATCTACTGGATAGAAAAAATAAGCAAATTCCAGAAAAACATCTGTTTCTGCTTCATTGACTACCCTAAAGCCTTTGACTGTGTAGATCACAACAAACTGTGGAAAATTCTTCAAGAGATGGGAATACAAGACCATCTTACCTGCCTCCTGAGAAACCTGTATGCAGGTCAGAAAGCAACAGTTAGAACCAGATATGGAACAACAGACTGGTTCCAAATTGGGAAAGGAGTACGTCAAGGCTGTATATTGTCACCCTGCTTGTTTAACTTATATGCAGAGTACATCATGTGAAATGCTGGGCTGGATGAATCACAAGCTGGAATCAAGATTGCTGGGAAAAATATCAGTAACTTCATATACGCAGTTGATACCACTCTAATGGCAGAAAGCAAAGAGGAGCTAAAGAGTCTCTTTAGAAGGTGAAAAAGCTGGCTTGAAACTCAACATTCACAAAATGAAGATCATGGCATTCAGTCCCATCACTTCATGGCAAATAGATGGGGGAGAAATGGAAACAGGGACAGATTTTATTTTCTTAGGATCCCAAAATCACTGCGGATGGTGACTGCAGCCATGAAATTAAAAGACGCTTGCTCCTTGAAAGAAAAACAGTGACCTACCTAGACAGCATGTTAAAAAGCAGAGCCGTTACTTTGCCAACAAAGGTCTGTCTAGTCAAAGCTATGGTTTTTCCAGTAGTCGTGTATGGATATGAGAGTTGGGAGTATAAGGAATGGTGAGTGCCAAGGAATTGATGCCTTCGAACTGTGGTGCTGGAGAAGACTTGAGAGTCGCTTGGACAGCAAGGAGATCAAACCAGTCACTTCTAAAGGAAATCAATCCTGAATATTCATTGGAAGGACTAATGCTAAAGCTGAAGCTCCAATACTTTGGCTACTTAATGTGAAGAACTGACTCACTGGAAAAGACCCTAATGCTAGGAAAGATTGAGGGCAGGAGGAGAAGGGGGCGACAGAGAATGAGATGGTTGGATGGCATCATCGACTCAATGGACCTTAGTTTGAGCAGACTCCAGAATATTGTGAAGGACAGGGAAGCCTGGTGTGCTGCAGTCCATGGGGGGCAAGGAGTAGGACATGACTGAGCGACTGAACAACAACAAAAATTACCCAGCAGTAAAATGGATGAGCTGTCAATACATGCAGTGACGTGGATGAGTGTCAAAATAACCATGCTAAGTGAAAACAACCAGATGAAGAATACATACTATTCGATTCCAAATACATAAAAATCGAGAAGATATAAGCAAATCGTTCGTGACAGAAAGCAGATCAGCTGTTGCCTGCAGGTGATTAGAAGAGCGGAGGGGATTATACAGGGTTATGAGAAAACATCTGTAAGTGATGGGTGAGTTCATCATCTTTATTGCATGGGTGTATACATATGTCAAAACATGAAATTGTATACTTTTTTGTATAGCCTTATCTTAAGATATATTTATAATTTATGTCAACCATACCTCAATAAATCTTTTTTATAAGGACTTGCTCTCATGGAACTTATATTTTATTGGGGAGGAGACACAATTATGATGACAATAAACCTGTATTTTTTCTGTGTGTATATATAGGTAGATATGGATCAGTTGTTGAAAAGTTTTTTGAAGAGAAAGCAGTGTGAGGATAGAAAGTGGGGAGGGGAGGGCAGGTGTTTGAGAGAGGTGGTCAGGTAATATGATACGATATTTGTATAGAGACTAGTTTGAACTCCCTGTAGTATTGTGAAAACTGCATAAAGTTTGTTTCAGTTTTTTTTTAAGTTTCAGGTGACTATTCTCTCTCTCATCTAAAAAGATAATATCTTTCTCTTAACGTGAAGACAGATTTAAGTTTCTGCCATCAGAAGGAAACAGATGGGAAGGGTGGGCAGAGATAAGCAAAACCTACTCCGCATTCTCAATAGAAGCCATTTCTGCTCTAAGAATTTCTTGTGCTTAATTTCTTATTAGAAGGGTGAGACCTGTTTTTGGAACATTTCTAGAATAGTGAATCAGAAAGTTACAACCAAAATCCCTGTCTCCTGGTTTTCTGCAAGAGAGGCAGTTATCCCTCTGTTTTCTTGAAGGAAAACCCCAAATTCTGCAGTCACTGTCACCATTGGTGTTCTTATATGTATGTCTATGATGCCAGAGGGATTTGCAAAATCATGCTCTCGTGGGACTCTTATTTTGTTGCGGAGGAGGTGTAATGGTGATGAATGTGTTTATGTGTCAGGTGTTGAAAAGTCTTTTGAAGGAGGATAAAGCAGTGTGAGGTTGTACTTTGGAATGAATGGGAGAGGGAAGATTTCCATCAGTGGTGTGAACTGCTTGCTTGTGTCCAGTCATCCTAACAGAGCCACTGGAAATATGTTGTTATCTTAGCAACAGTTGATCAGTGCAACCTGAATTTGATTCAGTTCCCCCAAGAAAGAGTGCTTGCTAGTGATAGAGACTTTAGAATATCTATGTATTGGGGGCATAGGGAAAGAATGTTCAAATGAAAAAAATTTCAAATGCTTTATAACATGTGCTAAAAACTGAAATGTGTTCCTTTATTTTGAAAACATGCTTTTAACTTTGCTTACCCCTTGGTTTTTTAAAGCATAGTCCATCTAGAGAATAATTTAAAGATCTTTGTCTTACTATTTAACATAAATTTGGTGACAGTAAGTGTGGAAAGTGCATTGAGTGATGCCAGTTGGGTGTTCGTTTCTGTAAAATTATTATAAAACATACTAATTTCTGTCATTCTGTTTTTCATTTTCTCTCTTCATGGCATTCATCAGAGCATCAGAATGAATACCACCATTCATCAGAGTGGTATTCGTCAGAGTATGCTCTGGGGCTGGGCTCCCTGTGTTAAACCTGTGGACTCTCACCTGTGAGGCTGGGAGCCCTGAGAAGCAGGAACCCCCTCCTGGCTCCAGCCCCACGGGCCAGTGGGGGCTGCCGATGCAGAGGTTCACATGACTCAGGCTTCTGTAACCTTCAGCAGCCCAGGACTCTTCCCCCACCACATGCCTGCCGCGGGTTGGAGGCAAATGAGTCCAGTTCTCTCAACCCTTAGAGTAGTTCCTCCTGATCTTTTGGATCATGGCTCCCTTTGAGGAGCCGATCAAATCTATGAACAGAACGTTTGCGCATCACGTCAGGGGCTGCTGCAAGGCCCTCTTCAGCGCAGGGACAGATAGTAAGACCCATCTTAGGCTAGCAGAGTTACAGGTCTTTGCCGGGTACAGAGGCAGCGCTCTATTTGCAACCTAGGTAATAACTGTGTTATTAAGTTGCATTTTTAATAATAACCTGTTAACCCAGGCACCAGGAAGAGCTAGAGAAAGCCAGCATGTACTTTTCCTCTAGCAGGAAGACCAGCAGTCCAGATCCATTCGTTTTGTATGTACTTTCCTAGGAAAAATTATTGGGACAGACTTTTCAATATTCTCTTCCCATTCTTTTCTTTGGTTTTCATTTGTTCTATTTCACATAACTCCTCAAATGTTACATAGAACAACCAAATATCTACTCTTCTCTGTTTAGACTTACCCATGAAGCCAAATACCTTGACCATGAAGCCAAAGACACATCTGCCTTGTACAGTGACAGAGAAGTCTAACCTCACACACTATTCATTCAATATTCGCTCTCTAATTTTATCCTAGAAATGTATTTTCCTAAATTAAAGTCTGTTAACAGTACCCTTTTGCTTCTTACAGCTTGTACCTCCTTTTAAGCCTCAAGTAACGTCTGAGACAGACACCAGATATTTTGATGAAGAATTTACAGCTCAGACTATTACAATAACACCGCCTGAAAAATGTAAGTAAATCTAGAAGGCAGTTGATAATGTCCCAACATAATTGAAGAAAACAGCCATTTTTTTAAACTGATTGTTTTCTAGTTTAAATTCAATAGTGATGGTATTCTATTCCTGTTAAGAACATGGGGTTCTTAGTGGAAATACTTAAAGACAGGTAGCTAAGAGAAAAGTTTCTTTGAGTAAAAAAAATTATATATGGAAAAATTGTAGACTTGAGAATTATAGAGTCAATTTTAGACTAACTGGCTCTTCTCTGCGTGCATGTGTGCTGAGTCGCTAAGTTATGTCCCACTCTTTGCAGCCCTGAGGATTGGCCCGCCAGGCTTCTTTGTCCATGGGGTTTCCTGGGCAAGAATACTGGAATGGGCTGCCATGTCCTTCTCTAGGAGATCTTCCAGACCCAGGGGTCAAACTTGCATCTGCTGCGTTGGCAGGTGGATTTTTTACCACTGAGCAGCCAGGGAAGCTAATTCTTCCTTACCATTCTCCAATAAATTATTTTGACCTCAACTAAAAGGATTCTGAAATGAAGACCTCCCTTGTTTCCCACTGCTCATTCAGACACTACCTTCAGAATTTTGGTAATTCTGGTCTCATGCTTACTTAGCAGTTTTTTAAAATTCACTTTAAACTGAATCACCCTTTTTTGCTTAGCTTTGTCTTAAGCATTAATATCTGTGAAGAAATAATTTAGTTTGGTAGTAGTTTTTGATAAGTTAAATTACAAATTTATTAAAACTGCGTTCATGCACCACTTAAAATCATTCCACATGTACTAGTGTGTGCCCCACATTTTAATGAATACCTTTCCCTTAATGGGAAGAAAAGTTTATAAAATATAATTTATAAGCGTTCTTGCATATTGAAAAAGGCCTGTATCTATCATCACTAGATTAGGAGTGAGGACAAAATTGAGTTTCAGGGACAAATTTGGATAGCTAGATTTCTTCAAATCACACATCTTGTGGCTCACACAATAACATCATTATTAGTTTTTCCTCCTTTTCTTTTCCTTTATATCCTTCTCTACATTTCCTCTCCTCTCTTTTCCTTTTTAAAAAGCAGACTACTTGATTGTGCTGATTTACACTGAGCATCCTTGAGAGGGAAGATTGAAGTACTGTGCAATGGTGGATGTGGTCAGTTGAGTACAGCTTTGAAAGGCAAAATAGGAGTCGTCCAGGCTGAGTTTTGAATCTGAGACCTATGGCTGACAAAAAAGAGGGATCATGAATACTGTGAAATGAAAACTATAATTATGTGTGCATATATACTTTTCTTTCTTTAAACTTGCAAGAACTTAAGAGCCTCTTAACTTTAATTTTGTAAGGGAAAAAATTAAAACCCAGAGAGAAGAGGAACTTTCCCAAATCCCACAGTTAGCATTAGCTGTCGTCAGGAGCCGGAGTCACAGCTTGGCCAATGGTAAAGTAGGCAAACTTGTGACATGGCGGTATATTGAGGCCCTACTTGTAGTTTGTCACCAGTGGTGGGTGAAGGGCTTCATTGCTAGAATCGGAGTCTCTGAGAGTTGAAGATGTTAGAAGGCCTGTGGAGTTGTGGGCAGTCAGCTAAGGACCAGCTGAATAGGAGCAGTGGGCAGAACCATGGCATGGTTTTCCCTGGCCCAGTGTAGGCTGTGGTGATACAATTTAATTGTCTGAAATTCTGGCAACACCATTGAGTTGTTGGACTAGCCTAGAAGTGCTTGCCACCAGAGAGCGTTTTGGGGGCCTCCTCATTTGCATATAACCTTAATTGTAATCAGACCACATCATTCTGCTTCAGACCCTCCAGGGGCCTCCCAGCCGCGCCGTCAGTCTCGCCGCTGACACTGTCTGCACAGCCCTGTCAGATCTGGTCCTGTCCTCGTCTCTGACCTCATCTGTCTGTCTTCTCTACAGCCCCTGGGTTCCAGCCCCACACACTGTGCCTCAGGGCTGTGTGTTTACCGTTCTCTGCCTGGACTTCTCTTTTCCCAGACATCCGCGTGAATAATTCTTACTTGTCCTTCAGATCTCTTTAAGTGTCACTGTATCAGAGCACATGCTTTAGCCTCCTCACCTTAAAAACAGTGCAGCCCCTCAGACCCCATCACCCCACCCCCTAATTCTGTACATTGACACCGTTACTTGCTGGAATCCTTCTGGTTAATTTGTTAGTTTGTTTTACTATCCGTTTCTCCAACTTGAACACAGTAGCTCAGAGAAGAAGGATTTGGTTTGTCGTATTCGCTGCTAGCCCCAGCTCTGAGTTAGGTACCTGGCTCAGCATAGGTATTGAATGATTATGTGTTAAGTGAGTCAAGAAATAGACTCTAGTGAGGCATGGTCCAGGAGGAGGCCCGGCTTGCTCCAGACAGTGCTGCTGCCCATCCCAGCCCAGAATTTGTGTTTGGCTGACGTCCTCATGCAATTTCACATGGAGCTTGGTGAGGTTCAATAGAGCTTTTGGTATTCATGAACTCTAACTCTTAGGAGAAGCTAATTGTGCTATTTTGAGAGTCAGAGAGATAGGTAGGCCGTGTAAATGCAAAGCCATGAGTGCAAATTTTATTCCAGAAAGTTAAAAGGAAAATATCAGTGTGGAAGAGAAAGGTGAATTGAAAAAGCCCTGGACTTGGGCCCTGCTTTGTCTCCCAGCACCCCACACTAGCTCTGGAATGTGGCAGGTCACTCGTTGTGTGTGCCTGAGAAGCCATCTCTTTCGGAAAGGCACCCAGAGTTCTATAGGTTTAAGTAACCCTATTTTTTATTTTATTTTGAAGCATCAGGTTAACCATAACCATAGTGTCCTTTGATATGTGACCCACTATGTAAAGAGTGGTGATAGGTAAATACCTAGCAAAAAAGAGCGGGCATGAGTGGAGGGGCATTAGGAAGGGACTACTGAACTGTGATGCTGGCAGTGAGGCGGGACCCTTCCCTGACGCTGAGCCCTAGGTGGCCCCAGAACATGCATCTGGCAGCATCTGGACTGACAAGAGTGTACCCCAGTCTACAGGCAGGACAGCCCTGTGGACCTGCTGTCTTAGTTTCTGATTCAAGGTTTCTAGAGAGAGAGGTCAGATGAGAGAGCTCAGTAGGGTGGGCTGTGGCCAAGAGGTGGGCACCAGCCAGGCTGTCCTCTGCGGCTCAGCCCAGCGTGGCTCCCAGGGCCAGGCCGTGGGGCTGGACCCCGGCCTCAGGACGTGGCCTCTGTGCTTGCCGTCTGCGGCAGCTGGCTTCTTCTGGGCACAAGGGCAGTGTTTTCACTTGGGTGATCCGTGGGTATATCCTAAATCCCCTTAAGAGGCGGATCAAAGGAAAATCTGTGAAGCCTTGAACTGTGATTACATTTAACATAATCTTTTCTTCTTGCTGCTTTGAATAGTGTTGCTGGTGAGAGACCAGTGCAGCTCTGAAGCTGCTAAAAGCACAGAGGTTTTGTTCACAAAAGGCCGCAGCAGGACCATTAAGTTAGCGATTGTCTCCCCACTTGCCACCTTGCTTTTGTAGAACAGAATGGAGTTATTTTTTAGAACAAATCAGCAGTTAGAGAGGCAAATGTTCCTTTTTTTACAAACAGCTGCAGTAATACGCCAGATTGTCCTCACTGGTGTTAATTAATTGAGCAGATTTTGGAATGTGTCTTCTTGCTTTATATCCATTAATGGTCCTCTGCCTTCCTCTTAGAGAAAAAGGGGATTTCTTTGAGCTTTTGCTGCCATATAATTACTTTGGTTAACGTTCTAAGGAAATTAGGCAACTAATGCTGCCTGGATCCAGGGATTCGGTTATAGAATATAGAGTTAATCACCCTGTTTCTTTTTCCCAGAGGTGTGCTGTTTGAGTTTTTTGCACAGTTCATGTCCATTATCATCACTGTTCCCTCTGAATCTTCTTTCTGAGTGGGAACGCATTTATATACGTTGACTGGGTGTGAAGGCCTGGCTGGGGCAGCCGGCTGCCCTGTCAGCCCTGGAGCGCTCCTTCTTCCTCGGCCCCCCACTGGCATGCACAGTACCAAGGGCTCAGGGGAACCCCTCATTCCTGTCCCAGCGCCTCCCCAACTCACAGTTCCTCTTGTGGCCATGATCAGAGACTTGCCCCTCACTAATGCCATGTTCAAAAGAATAGGAGGGAAATGGAGAAGGTGATGTAACTGACTTTAAAGAAGATCCAGATGTGGGGCCCTCACAAGGTTATCCATGAGATTTATAGTTATGATCAGAAATGGGATTAACTTGTTCCTAAAGTGTCAGAATGAAAAGTTTCTCTTAACTTTGCTGCCTCATAGCAATAATAATCCTCAAAAAGGAAATCCAAGCCCTCCTCCTGTCACGAGCCTGACTGCCCTGGTCTCCAGGCCTTCCCCACCTTGGTGCAAGTCCTGGCTGCAGCTCAGGGAGCTGGGCAAGTCCTTCTGTGTCCGAGGCCAGACAACATCAGGCTTCCTACACACGCTGTCTGTTCGCTGTGCCAGAACACACCCCGCGAGACGAAGGTGCTAGTGGGGAGAACTCTTCTTTGCAATGTGATTGGCAGAGTCTGAGTGTTAAGATTTCAGCTGCCTTTCTACTAGAGCAGGGCTTCCCCAACCTCCGGGCTACAGACCAGGGCCTCCTGTCGGATCCGTGGTGTCAATGAGTTTAGAAATCAGGTGCATAGTAAACGCGCTTGAATCATCTCGAAACCATCTCCCACTGCCTGGTCCGTGGAAAAATTATCTTCCATGAAACTGGCCCCTGGTGCCAGAAAAGCTGGGGATCACTGCCCTGGAGAGTTTTTATAGTTTGTGACTCAGAACAGATAGGCCATCCTCTGTGTCCTCCATCTTGAGTATGTCTGAAAATACTATGGAAGATATTTGAGCTTAAAGATGCTTGTGGTTTGCTTGATCCCCAACCAGTTATTTTATATGGAGGCAGAGATTTCCCTAAATCACAGTGCTGTCTGGAAATGCTGAGTTTAAAAGGTCTGCTTGCAGGAGGAGGTTTACAGGGAGCCGAGAACCACAACTGCTTCTTGATGGATTGAGTCCTACCTAATAAAATGATATTTCCTGGGATATTCAAGGCTACAAATTTTGGTTAGCAACTTGATCCCATTTCTGATGATGTGAAAGTCGCTCAGTTGTGTCCAACTCTTTGCGGCCCCCAGATCAGAATACTAGAGTGGGTAGCCGTTCTCTTCTCCAGGGGATCTTCCAACCCAGGGATCAAACCCAGGGCCAGAATCTTCTGTTCAAAATAGAGTGCTGGGTTTTCCCTGGTGGCTCAGAAGTGAAGAATCGGCCTGCCAGTGGAGGAGATGGGTTCAGTCCCTGGTCCGGGAAGATCCCCAGGCCTCTGAGCAGCTAAGCCTGTGCGCCAAGCTGCTGAGCCTGGGGGCCACCGCTGCTGAGCCCACAACCCCTGGAGCCCGTGCCAGAGCACGTGCCAGGAGCAGAGAAGCCACTGCACCCTAACTGAAGAGGAGCCCCCTCTCGCCACAGCTGGAGAAGAGCTTGCTCAGCAGCTGAGACCAGAACAGCCAAATAAGTAAATGAAATTTTAAAAGAATGTTTTAGTTAAAAAAAAAAAAACAGGATACTGAAAAGAGCAGTGAGGAAAGGAAAGGGCAGCAGTGTTTGTTATCCTTCAGAGGAATGCAGAGCAACATCCTTCTTGTGTGACAGGGTCAGTGTCCACGACACAGCAGGGTCTGGCCCGTGTTCCTTCTCCCATTCTCTGGAGAGGCCGGAAAATTAAAAGAATTGGTAACACATATTTCCTATATATTTTTGAGGAAGGGGAATTATTTTGCTGGAAGGAAAGAAGGTTGGGTATTTGAAAGACTCTCACTTGTTTCATCGGAGCAGGCAATGGCACCCCACACCAGTACTCTTGCCTGGAAAATCCCATGGACGGAGGAGCCTGGCAGGCTGCAGTCCATGGGGTTGCTGGGAGTCGAACACGACTGAGCGACTTCACTGTCACTTTTCACTCTCATGCATTGGAGAAGGAGATGGCAGCCCGCTCCAGTGTTCTTGCCTGGAGAATCCCAGGGACGGGGGAGCCTGGTGGGCTGCCATCTACGGGGTCACACAGAGTCGGACACGACTGAAGCGACTTAGCAGCAGCAGCAGCACTCGTTTCATATAGGATAGCATATGACCAAAGGCACTTTGAGCAGAGCAGAGGGATTTAATGGGGCACCTCCCCTGCAAACAGTGAGCCCCAAGGACAGGAGGGACTTTGTTCAGAGCCCAGAGCAGATGCACCGGGAACGTGGTAGACCAAGTGACTGAATCCATGACCCAAAGAAGGAAGAACATTCTGATACTACAAGATTTTAATCATCAGAATAGTTATGGGAAAAGGTTGGGTGAGCCTTTGTAATCTTTCAAATGCAAGAAAAAAGAGAGGAGCGAAAGGAGGAACTCCTTAAGTGAAAACAGCCTCTTTCCACGCCTTCCAAATCTCTGTGTGTTTCCTGGTGAACGAGTACCTCAGATGCTGACATCGTTTCCTTTCCTTCCTTGACTTACTCTCTTTATTCTAGTTTAAAGTTTTATCATAGGAAAATTAGGAGTGATGAATTAGAGCAGGTATTAGATGTAAAGAATGTAAAATCTTAACCATGTAATCAGGGGCTCAGATGAAATGGAGTCACGAATAAACTTAATTTTGCAATCACACCGAAAGTGCCATGAAGAAGAAATGCAAGCATTTCAAGAGAGATTGATACTGGAAATATTAGCAGATAACTTTGAGTGCCGTAGGATTCTTTGACTTTGTAATTTTGACCAGCATGATTTCATGAAATTAAAGGAAACTGAAGATGGTTTGTTCCTTTTTATTTTTAAAAATCTTTTTTTTTTCATTTATTTATTTTAATTGGAGGCTAATTACTTTACACTATTGTGCTGGTTTTTGCCATACATTGACATGAATCTTTTCTTCAAAAGTTTTTCACAGTTTTGAGTCTTATGTCATGTTAGTGTCATGAAGGAAATGATTTGACAGTATTATTTTTTCATAGATTATATGTTTGAAAATGAGATGGTTTTTGAGGTAAGTGTATCCATTGTATGTTCTATTGAGAGACAAGTTTCTGGGAGCATTAGCCTCTGTTAATCTTTATTTTGTTAGGAGTTAGAGCTATATAGACCAGAGATTATGTTGCAAAAAGTTAACATAAAATTAAAATAGCTGTTTCCTGCCCACAGATGATGAGGACGGTATGGACTGCATGGACAATGAGAGGCGGCCGCACTTCCCTCAGTTTTCCTACTCTGCAAGTGGACGAGAATAAGTCTCTTTACTTCTGCTACTTCACTGTCATCTTAGGTTTATTACTGAAAATGATTCCTGGACATCACAGCAGTCCTAACTCTTACAAATGCAGGAGCACCTTCAGACATCCCAGACCAGTCCAAGGTCTTCACCCCTCGCCGCCTTTCACACACATGAGAATACACATATACGCAGACACACTCGACATTTTTGTTTTTGCATGAAATTGTATCTCAGTCTAAGGTCTCATGCTGTTGCTGCTACTGTCTTACTATTATAGCAACTTTAAGAGGTAATTTTACAATCTTTGAAAGTCATGAGCCCACCATTGTTCATTTGTGCACCAACTGTCATCTTTTGATCTTTTAATTTTTGTTTTTCCCTAACAGTGAAGGCTAAATGATTCTAGGTACATCTTTTAACTTTCTAGACGATAAATCAAAAACTAATTAGACTAAGAAGATTTAGTTTTTAATTCAGAACAAGCAACTGTGGAAGCGTGGTGATGTGCATATGCAGAATCCTAGTAAAGCATATCAGCTGAGTGCATAAAATAGGTATGTATCAGTAAGATCCGGCTGGAATTCATTAGGAAGCATTTGAGAGAAGGACTGAACAACTGTTAAGATAGACAGATACATTTATAAATTTAAATTCCTGTTCAGTACTGCAGAGGAAGCCTGGTGCTCCACGTGGATGTCCAGATTTCACAGGCTCTTATTGGCAAAGGAACATCCTTCTGCCAAGGAAGGAAGCGTGTGCACAGCAGAGTAGGTGACGTAAGGGTCTCCAATATGATTTGCACCAGAGAGCATTTTATTTCCCCTGTGCTTGGAAACCTCTTCCCCTTCCTGATATTATCACCTCTGATGGCTGAAGAATGTAGACAGGTGTAACGATCCTGTTTTTCACCAAAATCTGTACACCGAGGTGAACAGGTGTTCACCTCATTTGTTTCGATTTGTTTTACTTTCAGTTCTACGTGAAATAGCTTTTTCTCAGATGTTAAAACTTCGAATGTCCTTTTATGATTTTGTTTATATTGCAGTAGTATTTATTTTTTAGTGATGAGAACTGTATGTCATGTTAGCAAATGCAGCTCCAACTTACGTAAAATAGACTTACTGCAGTTTCTTTTGACCCATGTGCAAAGAATGTACACGCCAGTGAGACTCATGCACTTTTTCTCCTGTGTAAAAAAAATTTTTGATGAGGCTCTGAAATTGTACATATAGATTAGAATTTGGCTTTGGGAGAAGAGATGCTGTCATTCAACCCCTTGGTGCTAAAATGAGAAATCCTCAACTATCTATGCCAAGGGGTGGAAACAAATGGATGTTATATTTGCTGTTTTGAAGAATTGAAAGGTTATGATGGCCTGGCAACATAATATAATGAAGAAAATTGAGACCTGGATGATAAGAAATGGACTTTATTTTGCAAAATGAACACATCTCAAGTTATTTACAAAGTGGGCAGTAAAGAATAAGGACCTGGTGTGTTTATTCTGATCATGGTACATTTATCACTGAATTAAGCCATCAGGGAGAAAAACAAAACAAAAAAGAACACCTCTGACTTTTCTTTTTCTGTATATACTCATGTCCTCAAATTCCAACATTTCTCACTGAAAGGGGACATGTATGCAAACCTCATCTTTCTCTTTCATTAATGATGATCTTCAGATTAAACCCTTTGGTGCTAGGAGCTGACATTTTCCAAAGCAACCTATGAAGTCCAGGGGGCAGGGGGCCCTTGTTGTGGCAAGCTGGAGGCCTCCTGACTCCATGGAGCCATCGTGGAGATGTATTTTAGTTAAACTATCTGACAGCTCCCAAATGGAAGACTACAGCGTGCCGTAGTGTTATGATTGCATTGTATGAAAGAGCAAGTGACTTTCTAAGTGGGATGAATCATATTCATATGCAGATGTCTTAGCCTCTTGACGCTGGAAGTGTGGGTTTATAGACATGAAACCACTGCTGGCGGTGGGTGGACCACTGGGACTGACAGGGGGTTAAAGGGCATTTTACTAAGGCAGCTAAGACACATTCAGACATAGATTTTATCCTAATTTTTCATATCTCTATCTGAGTGAAGTTCATCCTTAGTACTGAGTAGGAAGTTACAGTCAATGGTAGTTCATTCTTACTTACACATATAGCTCAACTTTTTTTTTTTCCACTTGGAATTATGTTGAATGTTTCACTTTGACAAGGAAGTAGACTAGAAGGTATGTCCTGTAAGTTGTCTTGCATCCATTATATAAAAAAGAAACAGGCAAGAGGAAGAGAGGAAAGCTGAGGCTGGCTGGCATTCAGAGCATTCATTTCTGCAGAGGGAAAGTATAATACCATACATTAGCACACAGATGGTTTTGGTTTTGGGTTGTTTGTTTTGTTTTTTTCCCCCCCAAATCTTAAGGTGATTTCCATGACCTTGGCCAAGGACACTTCTATGGATTAATGATAGCATTGACTGTGCCCCAGGCTGGCCACTCTGCACAGCCGCTCTCCGTCCCCAGCTGGTGCCTGGGGCACCCTCTGAGATGCCGTTAGTGGCACACAAGGTGTTTTCTTGGCTTTGATTTTGAGAATCCCTTACTTTCATTCCCTGATCTCAGTCAGCTGACATGGAAGAACAGAGAGAAACAGAAACTGCGTGTAGAAGAAGATTCTAAAACTTCCCTCGTGTCTGCCCATAGCTGAAGTTTTGGATTCTGGCAGATGGAAAGGCCTGAACCTGGAGTCACTCTTTGGAATAGTGGGAGTTCAGGCTTTGCAGACTCATTCCTGTACCGACTTTCACGAAGTCTGCCTCTTGGCCGTAATGCAGCCATCTTGGAGGAAATTGGCCATTTCTGCGTGGATTTCTGGCAGGGCTGCTCAGAGCTTTGCTTTCCACACTAACTCCATAGCATTATTCCAGTGTTTCCCATTTCCCATGCCCGATCTCCAGCTCTCAAAGCTGACTGTTCTTGCAGGGGCCACTTGCTTCTCTTAGAGTCCATAGTAAGGGCCTTCCTTACTAACTGCAGGGTCTTTCTATTACACGTCAGTGTACACTTTGCTGCTACTGTTTGTACTGTCTACAGTAGAATTTCCTTATCTTGCTCCTGGTAGTGCATTACAGGCAAGCATGAAATGTAAAGTATTTATTTAAATAAAAAGAAAAACCTCTAAATTGGTAATTGAATTACCTCCCTGTAGCTTTATAGTTTGTGACATTTCTTGACCTTGCTAGTTCTTTCATTAGATCCACACAAGATCTAGTCATCTGGTTAAGGATTTTAAGCAGACGCAACTACGAACCCAAGAAACTGTATTTACTCTTACTGTTGGTCATACTAAAACTGTTTCTTTCCTTAAGTATATGACCCACAAGGATGTGAAATAACTACAAGAAACTGTTTTTGTACACTGTACATCCTTAGTATTTTTACACGTATATGATAGGGACGCACATTATTTTCCTTCGTACAGACAGCTTAAATAAAGCACTATGTCAATCTGCTACTTCTCTGTTTATTGTCGTTGGATGTGGTTCTGTAATCTCAGAAAATTAAATATCCTTCTTTTCTGAAAAGATTTAATAGGTCCACCTGGTATTACTGCATTCTAGGAAACAGGAAAGTATGTAAATTTCTTGTAGCTTGAAAAACACACAGGGTTATTATTTTACTACTTCAATAAAATGGCAATAGTGCAACTGTACAAAAGGGCTGCTTCCAAAGGGGGGATGCTGACTTCTCAGCAGTGGGTCTAGAAGAGATCTGTGAAGCTGGAGATTAATCTTTTTGGAGATTTGTTAAGCCCTAATAGTCCTCACATCAGGTGGTTTGAACCCAGAATTCTTAAGGAGTGTAGCTCATCAGCAGTGTCTTCCTGATTATGTGTTGCTCTGCATACTTCCTTTCTTAAGAGTATATTTTTAAAACTTCATGGCAGATTAACCAACATAGAAATGGATAATAGATGGGTAGGATGGTTGGACTACAGTCTGATTTACCTAGGGTCATTTTGGATGGGGCCTTTTTCTGATTTTACCTCATAAACCTACTATTGATGAAACTTGGCTTTGCTCCTGTGACTAAGCCAGATAGAGGAACGGCTTTGGGACCAAAGCTGGTCAAGCATGTATGTGTGTGTCACGCAGCCAAACTGGAGGGCATTCTAACACGTGCTCTTCTCTCAAAACCACTGGGGTTGACAGATCCAGGAGGCTTACATAAAGTGACCTCTATAATTCTTTAAAGGTGCTATATTTTTAGAATATTGTATAATTTATTTACTGTCCCTGAAATAGAATTAGGGACAATTAATATATCTTATGTGACAACCTTGATGTCTAGCACAGTTGATGAAATCAAGAAAACTTCTGAATCTGAATAGAAGTTCTGTTCTTTCAGGCTTGAACCTTGTCCATGCTCAAGAGACTCGGATGGTCTTTGCAGGTGTATCATCCCACCGCCTCCGGAGCCTAGTCCGCATCCATCTGAGAGGCCATGATGGTGATGTGATGACGATGATGATAGATCTGTGCCAGGGAGAACGGCCCGAGGTTAGGGACTTGTCCCGACTGCAGCCTTGCCCTCAGTGTTCCTTGTCATCCTCAAGGACAACATAACACTTTCAGTGCCCATTTGTATTACTTTGAAGCATTTGAGGGCTTAATTGTGTATAGTAGAAATACTATTTTAAACTAAAATAATGATCTGTGTACAGATGTTTGATAGAACTTAAGTAAATTTTGTAATTTCACTGAGTACGTTTTTAGGCTCCTCTCAGTTACTCATATTGAAGGAAAAACATGACACCACCAAGCCAAAGATGCTTTTTGTCTGTTTTTGTCGTTAGCAGAGTGGAGAGGATAATGCTTAGTGCTTCCTGGTGTCTTCTGATTGTGCACAAGTGAGCACGATGATAAACAGTGGAGTCTTATGAGATGCTGATTACAAGTAAATAAAGTTGAAGGATAATATGTATAGATCACCCAGAGGGAAAGAAACATGAATGGTAGGAAAAAGGTTTGGTCCTTAATACCCTTTAGCCTAGTTAAAAAATATGTGCCTTTTTTTGGTGTGTTTTTTTTCATCACTACAAGATATAAAGGAAACATTTCAATTCGAGTCTTCAAAAATTTCATTTATTGAAATTCGTATGTGTAACAGAGCATACAAATGAGCAGATATAAAAACATAATAACTTCAAGCCTTTTCTGAAAACATACACCAGGAGGTCTCCTCATCTAGTGTCAGACTTCAGCTCCAGCCCGTCCGTCCTGCAGGGACCGCTTGGCAATGAATGTGGCGATGACGACGCAGCCCACCGCAGTCTGAGGTGGGGTCCATTGGGAAGGTCGCGATGCATTGTGGCATATTACGTACAAATCAGATGAATGTAAATATCTCTTTGTAAATCATTTATTTCACTCTGTTTCATCCAGGTCAGCAATCAGATTGTGGCATGCTGGGTAACTGGAAAAAAAATGATAATAAAAAGTAAGTTTAAATAGATCATGTTCTTCAATGTGATTTGTCTTCTTGCTGGTTTGGTGACCTCTTTCCAAGCTTTTGGAGGAAATTCTTTTGCAAAAAAAATATAGTTGTATGTAACCAATTGTATGAAAAGTCTATAGGTGTATAAGGTGAACTCTTATTTTAATGTTTTAAATTTGAAAACAAGCTATATTCCAGACATGTATGTGTCTGAAGACAGAAAACAGCCAAAGAGACCCATCTCTTCCCCTGTGAAAAGGAGAAAGTAGACATGGATTTGTGCCAGGAACTGTTTACTGAAAACTGCTCAGAATTAGAGTAAAACTAGACCAAAAAAAAAAGAAAAAAGAAAACCAGGATGTAGACTAAGTGTCCCTAAGAAATTCCTGGTGAAATGATACAAGCTAACACCTCCAAATGTTTAAATGCAGTGTGTTTTATCACATATAAAGGCATTTTCATATGGACACCACCTCCCACAGGCTGGAAGAGGGAACTTGGCAGATGTGGTCTCTTGGTTTTAAACAGGAATAAATGTTTCAAAACTAGCTCAGGAGAATTGGGTTGAGGGATTTGCAGGTTAGTGAAGTACTGAATACTGCTGCCTGTCCTGGCTGAGGTGGCTGTTGAGATCAGTTTAAACCATGTCAGGAACCACTGGAGATAGTTAACGCTGCGCACGGCATTTCTCAGGAAACTGCTGTGCACTGTGTGGGTGGCTGACTTGCCCTCTAGGAGCATGAAGTAACCAGGGTGACAGGGACTAGGTAGAGGGCTGAAATGATAACTCCCAAATCCCAGTTTTCACTTCAAGAGACCAATGGGAAGGTAATGCAGGGATCTGGGCCCATCTGGTCTCTGTTTGATTGGGTGAGAGTCGTCTTCAAGAAAAGCAAGTGGGCTCTACACTCCCCAGCAAAGATTGCCTGTGCTGGACAGGGCTCCTGTCTCCCCAGCTTAAACCACTATTACTTGTGGAGGATTTCCAAGATAGGACAGTGAGTGAAACCAAGGTCAGTTTGCACAAGAAAAATATGAAAATTAGTCAGTTGCCTTTTTTTAAAAAATGAGAGGTTTACTTGTCAAGTAGATTTCCCAGTGTGAGACACTCGTGATTTTTTAATGAGCAAGTCTGAGTTTTGACACGGTGATTGCTCTCAGGTGTGCACCCCCAATCACACACAGCGGGAGGCCCCAGGCATGGTGAGGAAGCATGTGGGGTCTGTACGTGGCTCTCTGGGGGCTGGGGAGGTGGACTGGCCCTCTTCTTTGGTGCCCATGGGGCCCTGGAGTGCCACCGGGAGGCCAGGGAGCCCTAGAGCCCTGCCATTGCAGAAAGAGTGCCCCTGTTTGCATCAAACACGTGACCTCCATGAGCCGATTGGCCTTCTGGTCCTGACGGAAATGATCAGTGAATGATGGGCTTGAATGGCCTGCCTGTCTCCTAGCTGGGCAGACTGCCTGCCCACCATGTTCTCTGGAGAAGGTGGCTTGCTTTCTAACTTTAGAGATTTGAGGACATCTTTGACTACAAGGATAAGTATAAACCACAATAGACACATTTTAAAAAAAAATTTCAAACTTGAGGTGGAAAGCACAACACCTATAACGTGAACAACACAGGACAGTAAAGACCTTAAGTAGAAGGGAACCATGTTGCAGAATTTTTTTAAACCCAGGCTCCAGGAAACAGGTATTTCTCACACGAGTCTCTTGAGGAACCTGGCCCATTCCTGCTAGTGCTCCTGCAGGGGTCAACCTGAGATTCCTGGGAGCAATCAAAGGTTTTCTCTTTGGTTTGGTTTGGCAAAGCCCTGTATTCCTCTCCACTTTTATATCACAGAACTTCCTGTTCACTGCCTGATGCATCATGAGCACTCAGCAAATGTGACTGAATGAATAATTTACCCTATAACATCATTGTCCTCCTGCTAACCAGCTCTGGTGTCACCCTCAGGTGGCTGGATCTTTAGTAAAGAATGTTTCTTGTCCGTAACCGCGAGCATGTCCAGAGAGAGAAAAGCTTTAGTTACTGCCAACATCTGGCTCTGCCCTGCTTGGCTCAGATGGTAAAGAATCTGCCTGCAATGTAGGAGACCCGGGTTTGAACCCTGGGTTGGGAAGATCCCCTGGAGAAGGAAATGGCAACCCACTCCAGTATCCTTGCCTGGAGAATTCCTGTGGACAGAAGAGCCCTACAGTCCATGGGGTCACAAAGAGTTGGATACAACTGAAAAACTAACTACACTACTAACATCTACTCATCTGCCATCACTTAGGACGTCAGCCGTGCCTAGTTCCAGAAAGGTGGCTCGTCGTCTGCACCACATGGTCATGGTCTGGCTGTATGTGGGACACAGCCAGTGTGAACTGTGGCTGGCGCCCTCAGCCACCCTCTTCCCATCGCTATGCCTTCAGACTTGTCACCAAGGCCCCTCGCCATGGCCTGTGGATGGTGTGGCCACACCTGCAGTTGTTGGTGGCTGCCCCGCAGAGGGCGGAGGGCTGACAGCCCCCTGGCAGCTGCTCCTCTGAAGGGTTGTCCACAGAGGACATAAACGCTCCCCAACTGCAAGCCCAGTATCCCTGACTCGTTTTCTTTTTAAACACTAACGGAGCCTTCTCTCCACAAACCCTGACTTGTGCGTCTAATTTTTTACTGAAGTTTAACTTAATTCAGAGTTTAAAAAATGAGTCTCTCTGGGTGATCTGAACTGTTCCCCAAGCAACCACACCTGGGGTCCAACCCAGCCTTCTCTGTTTTTTCCCCAAGCCTGTGGCCCAGGGACACTGTGGCACCATCAAGGCCTCACGGGGATGCTCAGACCTGGCCTGCCCCGTGTTTCCATCTGCCTATTCTCTACGCATCTCCACCTGGCCTCTTAGCAGCCCCTCCAAGTGGAATATCTCCCTTTCTAGCGCCCTCCTTTGCTCATGTGTACATCTTCTGTCTCTGACCAGGATTTAAAAAAAAAAAAAAAAATGAACCTGTTCCTCAGGCCTCTGGCAGAAAAGCATCTATTTTTAACTCAAGAGGACAGAAGCCCTCCCCCAGCCTCCACGTGGGGTATTTCAGAGCTCAGCCTCAGCTGACAGAGCTCCAGGGAAGCCTCCAGTACCTGCCTCATGCTGCCCCCACGTCGGGAGCCAGGCCACAGCTCTGTAGCTGCTCAGCTGGGGCCCAGCTCCAAGCCGCTGCCTGGGAGAGAAGACCCCCACCTCCCCCTTCCGTGCAGCCCAAGGCCCAGGGAATGAACATCAGTCTCTGGAAGTTCGTTCTGCCCATTCATTTCCCAGCTCTATTCACTCCACCTCTCTGGGCCTGAATTTTCCACCTGTGCAGAAAGATGTTAAGTGATTTCTGCAAGTGGCCCTTTCAAGCCTACAGTGACCTCAGTGCCACCCTGGTGGACGCTCTCTTCCGGGCTCTGGTAATGCAGAGAGCTCCCTTTTAAAAGGAAGCTGGTTCTATTACTGATTTTTTTTTTCAACCAGAAATTGATTGATGGACTGATATGGAAGCTAAAAACTTAACTGAAGTGGTCCAGAACTGAGATTTGAACCGAGGCAGTTTGACCTCAAAGTCCAGGCTCTTTTTAATGCTATTCCAACCAACTTAGTGAAAGAGCCACCGAGTTTGGTGTTTGTGGGATTAAGCAGCAGTCAAATATATCAGGCAACCTGGACTATATAAGCCACGTGACCTCTGGATGGTCATTAACTTGTCCTCCCCAGTCCTTCTGTGGGACTCTGGAAATGCGGCTCAGACGTGACCACTGACCTGTTAGAGGGCGGTTCCCCGCCAGCACAGGGCTCGCGGTCGCGGACTCCAGGTCAAGCGGGGCCTGCCTCTCCCCACACAAGTCACTGAAGCCCTGGCTGAACTGCCTCCCCTCCGGCTGGCGCAGCTGCCAAATGGGCGAGTTCACAGCAAGGTCGCCGCAGACCCTCATTTTGTTCTTCCCCCATGGCAGCCCGGCTGGGCCCCAGACAATGAAAGCTCTGTGGCAGGCAGAGTTCAAGCTCGATTCTCCCTGAACTCTGGGGCTGGGTTTGCTGCCTCTGGGCTCCAACACTGGAAAAGAACTGCAGAAGCCAGAAGACAGCACCGGTAGAGGCAGGACAGACCTTCTTGCAGAAAGAAGGAGAACACAGTGATTCCTTAGCTTCCTGGAAAACAGCACCTCAATGTGGACTTGAGACATGGGGGGAAGGCAGAGGACCCCACGCACGGACAGGAGTGGTCAGGTGGGCGGACCCACTAGCCAATGACTGGCATCTGCTCGCCATCTCTTCCCCAGAGCACACTCCAACACATATGACGGTTCCTGCCACAGTCCGCGGGATCCCGACTTTGTCATCCTCCAGCTTTCTTGAATCCCATGAGTCATGAGAAACTTCCCGGGCACATGGGCAGGGGTCTGTGTTTTGTACGAACCGTGTTTCCATGGTAAATAGATTTTTAAGAATTTCCCAAAGGACAGACAGTGTCACCAACAGCAGAGAGTGGAGCCTCTGGCTGCCTCATGTTTGAAAGCGTTAAAAATAAAGACAACATTGACATTTGGGGTTGTAATGTGACGGAATTACAGTCTTTTAAAGGCAAGAACCACTTATCTACACTGCATGTAATATTCAGTGTTTTGTTCACTTGTCTAATTGGATTAAAATATTTAGCTCCCTTTAAAATCTTGATTGTGAATTTATATTGCAAAATGTAATGTCTGACTCGGGAAGCAATAAGTGGAGCAAATGTATCTGAAGCAATGTTAAATTCAATGTATTTTTCTTCCATAAGTCTTATTCTGAAATTATTCACTCTTGGACAAAGTGAACTGTTAGCAGAAGAGCAAGTTTGGCTTCAATAAAGCTGTATGCACTTTTCAATATTAATTACACACAGGGCCTCCAGTTGAAAAAAAGAAAAAGTTAAACTATGCTATTTGAGTTGCTTGAGGAAGCTTCCCTGAGGGTCACAAGACCCCTGTGTTAGAAATGTGGCACCAGGGGGTCTTACG